TACGAGGATGGGGAAGGAGTGACCGGATGTGTGTCGCCTGATAGCATTAACCAGCAGGTTGCTGAGCCAGATGTCCCTTCCTCAGCAAGGAAGCTCAGATAAAAGTACAATGCGCCTGGCAAGCCCAGGGTACATGTGTCCCAAGATGTTTTTCCCTTGAGTATTTACAGTTTATTTGAGCTGTTTCCATTCTGCAGACTTTGTATACACAACAATAGGACAGCTCATGATGTCTGAAAGGAAAAAAAAGGTTTATAGACCATGCACATCCCCTACCCTAAAGCCTTCCAGGGGAAACTCCCAGTACCCTTGGAACTTTCCTGTCAGACTATTATCCAATCCAGTGCTGTTTCCAAGCAGGAAATATGATGTTCCAAAGACAACTTGACCTCCTGTTTGAAAATGGGCCAGGGTGGGGGGTAAGGAGAAGGGAAGACAAAAGCAGCACAATCCAAGTCTATTTAATTCATAGACCCAATCACAAACACAAACAAGTTAATTTTGTTAAGAATGCACAGGAACATTTCACTTAAGACAAAAATCCCAATTATTTATTCTCTTCTGGAGTGCTTCTTATGCATCCTTGAGTTTTTAAAAGTTCAAGTGTTGCATTAAAAAAAATCAACATAATTACAGACAGCAGTCCTTAAACAAGAATATCCTGTTTTGTTTCCTGCATACTCACTGGGGTGGCTCATCTGAATCCTTGACAACATCCAACTCCAAGAGGAAAACATCAAGACTGCTTGCTGAGCCTGGATTTTACAGACAGCGCCTCCGCGGTGGGGCTGTGGGCCCCAACGTGTACCACCACAATCGGCCTATTGTTTACTTTCTAGTCAGAAAAGCGACCCTGCTTTTCTTCACTGGGTATGGTCTCCATAATCCTAACCGTCATGTTCACTCAGCAGTAAGCCCAAATATATGCTTCCCCGAGGAGTCCCAAATACATGAGATAGATTAGCATCTCTGTGGCTTGATGCGATCTGTGACAGATTCCACAGCAATAAACATTTTAAAGTGTGGTCAGTTCTAAATTATTTGCTGAAGAACAATTTTTGTTCCTGAGGTGGAGAAAAATCTGCATTAACTTCTGAGTAGTCAACACCCTAGCTCAGAGATAATACAACACCCCCAAGCCCCAGCCCCTCTACATTTCATTCTCTTTAAAGAGAGGGGGGAAAAAAAGCCCAATTGTGTGCTGATGAATTAGAGAACTTCGTGAGCATTCAAGAAATACACATGCCACTACAAATTAACCATTAGCCGGGCAAGGTATTCATCCTTTCTGTCAGATTCTGTGGGAAGTACGCCTTATTAGCATTGAAGCCAGAGAAGTCATATATCAGTCCACATTCACTTATCCTACAGAAACGAACAGGCGATCTCAGTTCTGCAAAAATAAATCGCGTCGTTCTTCTCTTGTCCCCGTTGCAATCCTAAAATTGAAAATCACCCAATGAAATCCTGTTTCCTCCCTGCTTCCAGTTGGTCTCCGTGTTGACAATGAAACGCGGTTTTGCATTTTAAATCAGTTCCATCATAACCCTGACACTGATCACAGGGCTGCTAATTCGCGCCGGCTCCCGGCGCCGCCCCGCCCCCACTGCACCACTTTGAATTTGAATGGCACCGGGAGAATCTCTGGGGCCACGTTTGTGGCCCCTCAGAGGCAGCCTCTCCCCCGCTTTCAGCTGGTTTCCTGGCAGGTTTCACGGGGATTTGTGGTGAGTGGCAGCTCTGGAACCACTTTTCATCCTGTCAGGTTGTGGTCAGGCTTAGTGGGGTTTCTTTGTTACGCTGGCCACTAGTAGTCAACTCCCTTGAAAATATCTGGTTTTCTCTTTTTCCCTTAAAGAAAGAAAAGGCAGCTCCTGACTCCCTTCCCTACCCTTAAAACAAACACAGCACAAACAGGGATGACCCTTTGAAAACTTGGGGTGCGGGGAGAAGAGGGAGAACCCCAGATGTTCTCCATATCCACATTTAGTTTTGATGTGAGGCTATAGAAGGTCTTGGGAGAGCCCCGTTTCCCATACCTGTGCGGCCGGCACGCTGTTTTATGAAGGAATCAGGGATAAATGTTACTAGCACCTTTTCATGTTAAAATATAACAGGCCAACAAGTAACATGTGAATTCTAGAGCATAGTGTCTCCTTTCTTTCAGAATAAACTCGGAAAAATAAGGAGTGCCAAAATTAGTAAAATTAAACAAACAAATCCTGCGGAGGGGGTGAAGATGGAGTTTTCTGTGGACCCAGAGGGAGATCTGGCGCTTGCTGCAGGTCTTAAGCTAGCGCTTAGCTGCATTTTGTGTTTCAAGAATCGGTTTGGAGGAAAAAAAAATAAGGTTGCCAACATTTTATATTGCCAAGCTAGGCTATTAAAAAAAAATCACCACCACCAACTAACATTGAAATCTTACATCATTTCTAAAAGAAAGGACATGTTAACATGAGTGGTGGCTTTGGGAGAGGCACAAAACCATAATCTCAGAACACCAAACGCCAGCCTTTCCAAGAAGGAAGAGTTGGCAACTTGTGCACCTGCTTGCCACAAAGGCCTTGGGAAACAGCCAGTGCCTGCAATACACCCAGCCCCTTCCCACCTTCCTGCCTTTGCACGGCCCTTGCTCTGCCTGGAAGTCTATTCCCTGGGCTATTGGCAGAGCTCGCCACTCAATCTAACCACAAGAGGCAGGGCTTCTTTAACCGGAGCGTTGCAAACCCCTCTCTGCAGACCCCGTGTCTACACATCCGCCCCTTCCATCTTCCATTTCTGTCCATTCCCTCCCCCGCCTCATTTTCCTCAAGTACTTCGGACTGTTTGACTTTGCAGTCTGTGTTTGCCCATTGTCTGTCTTCCCGTTAAATGCTGGGCTTTGTCTCATTCGTTCCTCTTTTCTTCCACTACCCAAAACACTGCCTGACACACATGAGGCCTTCAATACTTATTTGCTCCTCTTATAATTGTGTATAATTTCATAGTGATTATTTTTCTCATTTTATTATGGACAAGAAAACATATCCCCAGAGCCGGCACTATTGGGTATATGGAAACCATTGTTTTAAGAAAGAGACTGAAGAGACCCTCCTGGCATAGATGATAGCATTACTGTAGGCAGTGAATTTTAATACGTACCTTCTTTGCTGCAACCAATTTCAAATAGTCAAAGCGAGAACTAGCAACAGTTTGATAATGCGCTAAGTTGTGGTTGACTACTGATTTAAAGAGAAGAAATATTCTTAAAACAAAGTTTGTTCAGGAATATACATTCCTTTCTTCTGCAAATTATCAAATTATACAGATTAGGCTTTGTGGGAGCAGAAAGGTGTGAGATACTTCACTTACCTTTCGTAAGCATCACGACAGACACTTTTGTAACAAGAGACAGGTTTACAAGAGAAAATTCCAACAGATTTATTTAATTCAAGTTTTATGTGACACGGGAGTTTTCAAAAATGAAGACCAAAGAACCAGGGAAAACTATTTTCATGCTTAGTTCGATGAATACACAGCCATGTAGAAATGTGAATGGACTAACAGGTCTGATATGAGCTGATGATATAGACTGATGGCGAAATCCAGCAAGGGCTGTCCAGATTCTTCTTGGCTTTTGTGTAGCATTTTTTTTTTTTCCTTCCAGGAAAGGGGCAGGACATCTCTGGAATGAGGGTCTTAAGATCTACCATGAGACAATGTAGGTTAGAGAAATCTCTCTATAGCCGGCTCCTACACAGAGAGGGAGGGGAAGTTTAGAGTAATATTTCTAGGTTCTATGACCCTGCTTTGTGGAAGAGAAATTCTAGTTTCAATGAATCACTTTGGGGGTGGGAGGTAGGTGGGCAACAGGTCAGAGAGAGACCTCTGGAGGCGTTTCCAGTGTCCTGTTCGAAGTACTCTGTGAGCCGAAGTGCAGGACATTGAAGTTTGATTTTCTTGCTTCTTAACCTTGAATTGTGTATGCAGTTTTTCTTAAACAAGAGAATGTTTACCTATTCTTTGAGTGCAAATATCTGATGGATAAAAAAGATAAGTGTAGCCTCCAAGTGACAGCACAGTGAAGTATTATCTCTTGGAATACTCACTGTGAAATGGTGCAACAGAGAAGTCAGGGTCACAGACAAGCCTGACTACAAAGAGGAATAGATCATTATAGAAAATGTTGGCTTTGAAATGCATTATAAACAATTCAGCAATAGAGGAGGCAGGTTGCAAAAATGTACATTTCAACTTGTTGGGCCATTTAAGTTCACGAATGCATGAATGGGTGGTTTATACTTTTTTCTGAAAGAAGGACTACTTCTAGGTGTTGGGGTTCAGAACATGATATCCCCAAACTATGGTTCAGAACATGGTACCCCCAAACTATGGCATCTTGGCCTATGGGACATTTTAAATAGAAGGAAATTGAGAAAAATGTTGTAGCAAGAAGGTCCTCTCTAATCTTCATGTGCCTTCCTTCCCTGAAGCAAGGTCATAGGGAAACTCTGAGCTACTTCCCTGCTGTACATAAGATCCTCATGTGAGAGGAATTCTGCCCTGTATCTGGAAGCAAAGAAGAATTGAAAGAAAGAAAGAAAGAAAGAAAGAAAGAAAGAAAGAAAGAAAGAAAGAAAGAGAGAAAGAGAGAAAGAGAGAGTGAAGGAAAGGAAGGAAGGAAGGAAAGAAGGAAGAAAGGAAGGAAAGAAGGAAGGAAAGTAAGCCTAACAATTCTCCCCTCACCCCCACAACCCATTTATTATCTTTAGGTCATGTTCCCTTCTCCTCCATTCAGGTTCCACATGACTGTCCATTCTTCATCACGTCAGTCCATAAAAGCACATGCTTTCCCCTGGGTCCGTGGGTCTTCACGTCTGAAGGCTCCATGTCACATAAAACTTTGGTTAAATAAATTTGCTTTGCTTTTCTCTTGTCCATCTGTCTTTTGTTAGAGTTGTCAGCCATGGACTTTGTGATAAGTGAGAAAAAGATGTTATTTTTTTTCCTACGGTTTCTAGTGCCTGCTGTGGGGTGATTGAGACACACTACTCCCCCTGAAGCCTGCAGTTAAGATCTGGGACAACTGAAAAGCTGGAAAAAGGTAAGAATTTTTTCCTCATGACCACCTGTCCCAGATCTCACTACCTGCATCGCCTGGTAGAGTACAAGGCAACATTTCTCCGTGTCCAATTCAGATTAAGGAGAAAAACATTTCTATGCTCTGGCTTTTGTCATGGTGTCAGGCATACAACTTGCCATGAGTGAGCAAAAAAGTTACTACTTCTTTCCTACACAGGTATGTGGGCTCGTTTTGGACTGTGTTTTTCCCTTTGAAAAAATAGAAGATGAGCCCAAGTGTACTTCAGGCAAGGTTAGCAAAGATTTTTCTTTTTAAAATCGGGTTCAATGTTGGGGCCGGCACTGTGGTGCAGCAGGTTAGGCTGCTGCTTCCAACACCAGCATCCCATATCAGAGTGCTGTTCCCAGCTTCTCTTCTTCCACCCAGCTCCTGCTAATGTGCCTAGGAAAGCAGGAGAAGATGTCCAACTACTCGGGCCCCTGCCACCCATGTGGGAAACCTGCATGGAGTTTTAGGCTCCTGGCTTCAGCATGGCCCAGCCCTGGCCATTGCAACCATTTGGGGAGAGAATGACAGGTGGAAGATCTCTTTTTCTCTTTGTCTCTACCTCCCCCACCCCCATTACTCTGCCTTTCAAATAAATGTCTTTAAAAAAAGTTGAGTCCAATGTCTGCTCTTGCTGCCACATTTCTGAGTAGTTGTAATAGGTAGTAGCAATTTGGTATATAGATAAATTAGAACCTGAAGAAAATGATAGCTTAGATCACAAACATGCCAGCCGAGTCGCGCTTGTGTGTGTGTTTTTGTATGAGATATGGTCAACTTACTTGTAGGAATTGATTTCTTTTATTTTTCTTTTTGCCTTTTAAAGTGTATTTCTACTATCAAAAAAAGCAATTAACAAAAAAGAAAAAAGAGAGGAGGACAAAGAAAGAAAAAAACCCAGGAAGAATCAGCATTTATATTTAGTGATCTGAAGTTTGAGCTCTGACGTGGCCCAGAGCAGTGATCTCTTACTGGATCAATCCTCTTACAGATAAAATAATAATTTGGGAGCAAAATAAAAAAGAAATTCTTGCCTCATTGTAGAGTAAGAAAAATCAAGCAAATTTTGCAGGGAAGCTGATTTTTGTATGAATAGGACGATAGGGTATTTGTACCAGCTTTACAGTTGGCACCATTTTTGCACCAAAATAAGCTTGTATCTTAATTTCATCTTGCACAGATTTTTTGGAAGTACCCTCATATACTGGCTATTGTTATAATGACGATGAAATAAGTGGAGAATATGAACATGTAGATATTTGAAAATTTCATTCTCTGTCTCTCCTCTTGTTCTTTAATGCTAGAGAATGCAATGGAGCTGGGGGATTTACAAAGACTCTGCTGATTAATCCATCATATTCTGACAACTGAATTCCCAGAAACCGAGTATTAGACTTTCGCACAAAGTGACGTTTTGACTGGAATCTTTCAAGTCTAAACATATGAACAGTTGGGAGGAGGACTGCCCCATGGTGGGTCCTCAAAGAAGAGTTGCTACAGGTATTGTTATTAATTGCTTTCATAAGAAAGCAAAGATTTTTGTAGTCTGATCTGCCAATTCCAGCATCTCAATATTGCAACAGCTTTGTCAGAGGCTATTTTGTAAGAGGTAAAGACAGTAGGTAGTTGGGAAGACCTTTACATGCAATTTTACATACAGTAGGAAAGTGTACAACGTTAAGTGGCTTAAAAAAATCAAGAGAGTGAGATTTTAGACCATCACCTACTCAGTGATGAACTTGTCTTATTTTAGGACATGGAGATTAGAAATAAAGCCAGGCTCAACTTCCTTGAAACAAAAATGTGCATTTCTTTTTAAAAGTTGCCCAGGCACAATGCTGGAGGCAGTGACTTTTGATAAAATTATGTTGTGGACAGAGTAGCTGGAGAAAATGCTCTTAAGTATTCAACGTGGGACAAAAACCTTCCTGGCACTAAGAAGTCTCAATTGGCTTTTCAGCTGCACTGTGGTTTATTGTGTGCTTTAAATCAGCTCTAAGACTACACTACATACCACTGTGTCTGTTAGAAAATCATTATGGTGCAATTAAAAGCAATGTTGTTTCACAGAGGAACATGGAGTTCTCCTCTGTGTCTGACTGCTGTGCACTTCCTTTGGGCCTCTTGTGATTATCTACACTTGCGATGGTCAAGAGCTACAGCTGTCGGGAAAACACTCAACAGATGGCAGTTGTGGGGTGTTGCGTTATCCTTTTTGGGATGCTCTCTGACACCCGAGCTCGAGACTTCCATCAATGCTGGTGTGCAACTGACTCCTTCCAAGAGCACAGATCTGGAATGTTCAGTGACAAGATTAATCTTCCTCCAGAAATGAAGAGAAATTGAAGCTTCCTCAGAAATGAAGTGTGCAGCAAAGTGCTAAGGCGTATTTCGCTCTGGCATTCTTTTATTTGTATGTAGATAAGCATGACTAAATATCCAGAAAGTCCGAACCGCTGGTAGATAGAACACTTTTCCCCCAGAATAAGGGTGAGGCAAGATTGATCAGTTCTTTTATTTTTGTAAAGTTCATTTGTTAAAGAGTAGCTTTTTGTTTTTCAAAAAGAGCAATTGAACCTTGGCCTTGGTAATGACAGGACTTGGTGAATGACATACACTGTTAGCCTAAGTGGTTTAAGAATTAATTAAGTGGTTTCATTTTACATTTCAGATAGCATTTTTAACATAAATACTTAAGCCTCTATCTTCATTATTTATATGGTACATATATATGTATAACATTATGAGGGTAAGAAGAGGAAATTGACAAAGCCGCTGAACAATATGCATAATTGTGTTAGATTCTGGCCTGTCTGGATGCATATATTTTAATACAGTGGTAGACAGTATTGGATAGTAGGTGTTTGTCCTGTTTCTGTGTTCTGGAAAGGGCCTGGTCATGGTCGTCTGCCCACTGAGGCCACCTTCCAGTGCTGTGAAATGATATGTGGTTGTCTGGAGCCTGACCTGAACATGAAGGTGGCCCTATAAAATCTTACAAGCAGGTAGCATGGGGACAAATGTGTTCCATAGGGTTAAAATTTAAGTTCTGTCAAAATCATTGTCTTCCCTTTCTCGTGTTAGCAAAATCATGTCCCACAGTTCCTGAAGATACATATTTTTCCTAAAACATGACACTCTGATATTTTCTACTTGTCTATTCACGTCCCAGAAGAGGTAAGCACATGCTGTATATGTTTTCTGTAAATATACTTGCAAGTTGGTCTCACTGGCTAGTCTCTGAAAGACTTCCAGCGGATAAAGCACACGGACTGGGAAGCTATGAAGAGGAGTCTTTTTAGTGAGTGACAGCACGGATGGGCAAGGGACAGAGGCAGAGGCTGCAGGAAACGTGATTCATGGCGTAGTATGGAGTTGAAGGACATTACATGCATTTGGAGACAAAACCAACGTTTCACATATTCTAAGAGCTTAAATAGACTGGGCATTATGATAAGTACTTTATATGTATTATTTAACTTGATTTTATTCTCATATGTGTGAAATAGGCATTATAACTCCCTGTATATGAAGAGAAAATGGTGGCACTGCTAGGAATTCTCCCAAGGTCACATGATAAAATGATTTTCTAGATTCTTATAATTTCTTCAAGAAAATACTTGTTCTTCCCTAAACATTCATATGATTTTGTGCATATGAAAATTTCTACAATGTTACTATTGGATGCAGGTGCTAATTAATAAGACAATGGAAAATACATTTGTTTGCATAATGGAACACATCTTTACACCTCTTAAAATAAAACAATTCCCATCAAAAAAGAGCTTTGAGAGGTGTAAAAAGATGTGCTCTTTCAAAGGATTCCAGTATGTCTGTAATCAAGTAGAATGTTAGTGAATGATTTTCCCTGAAAGTTCCATTTTTTTTATATAAAGATAATTTTAGGATTCACTTTAACAGAAATTAAAGGAAAAGTCCTTCTTTTATTTGATGGGTGGAATGAGTCTGTGAGTAAAACTATCAAGAAGGTTTTATAAATCTTTCTATAGTTTACAGAAAGGAATATGCTCCCAGTGGAGACAAGTATGGCACTGATGTGAAAGGATCACATTTTCAAAATAAGCGTGCCACAAAAACGACTGGGAGAACATAACCTGCGTGATTAAGTTCTATGTTTTTCTCCTTGAATTTTGAAGGTAGCAACTCCTGAAGTCTGACACGAGAGCAAGATGCCTAATTGGAAACCTAAAAGTGAATTGTAGATTTTCACTTGCTCTTCCATTGCAGGTGAAAAGAACGTGGTCGAGCTGCTCTGTGGTTACCACTGCATCCTCCCACCCCCAGCATCAGCATCATCCCATGCTGCTGGTGTCCAGGAGGACACAGCGATGACAGCACGAACAGTGGTGTGGACAAGACAAACCCACAGTGCATCAAAGTGCCACGAAAGCCCGTGCAGCACTGAGATAAAGACCACCGTCTTGTAGCTATTTGCCGTGATGAGTACACTGCTATAAATCAGCCACGCAGGGAGAGGGTTTTTATTGCCATAATTGCCATCTGAGATTATTTTGCTGCCTAACTCAAGTAGATGAGAAGAGACTAATGTTTGTAACAGTCCTGAAACCCTACCTTAGGCATCCATTACTACACGATTTTAGTTTTGAATCAGTTCAAGCCTTATTTCCAGTTCTGATGTTCACATCCCCATAAGTAAGAGGAGGATCAATAGTAAAAGGAAACCAGCAAATTGTAGGCTTTGCAATAAATCTAAGGTATTACGTGGACATAATTTAAACAGTTGTTTTTCTTTTCCTGAAGAATAAACACATAATAGGAGGGAAAAAATGAGGCTCTAAAGGGATTATGCATTCCTAAATATTTTATAGCTGTGTTAAATGCAATGTTGTGCTTTGGTTCCACGGCTGAATATTTGCTGATGTTCATTTACTCACCAACTGCAAGCCCAAAAGACGCTATTTGAGGTTTTTTGTGTGGTTTTAGTCTTGGCCCTTCTGTCAGTGCTTCACTGCATGATGGTAAAGAGCAACTCTTTGCATGTGAGAAGACAGATGTTGGTGATTTAAGCAGGAAAATGCACCACCGTGCTTTTACTCAGCTGATACTTAATGATTTACCATTTAATGTAGTTCATCTCTCATAACCCTGAGTTCAAACAGAAGCAGCTGCTGTTAGGGATGCAATAACATTGAACTTCCCACCAACGACCTGGGAGAGCTTCTTCTGTAGCTTTAGCTCCTGGGCTTCTCTGGCCTTTCCCCTAAGCACGACAACTGAGGGGGAGAAACATTACTTCCCGTCAGTGGAGTCTTGGACAGAATGTATAATTATGCCAGATAAAGATTTTCAAATCAAAACTCCTTATATGAACATCACTCTGCAGCTGTGGAGGACCAAACAACGCACTTCGTCTCATTAGCGAAAGAACATGCAGGAAATTCAGAAAACACATGAAAAGTCATACCTAGTTGAAATCAATTCAAAGGGTAGAGGTGTCCCTGCTTTCAACCCCAGGTGAGAAACTTATTTTCTTGTAATTTCTATGTGAATTCATTAGTATGGGGGCTGTTCCAGTAAGTAGCTATCTAGGTGGCTTTAGAGATATAGATGTTTAGATGGATGGACAGACAGATGAACTGCTTAAAATAAAAAGGCGCTCTAAAAGCTAAGGCCTACAAGATGGACATCTAATGAGATGAACTCTTTTGGAGAGAATGGTATTCAACATGCTGATGAGGATTGTGGCATTAATATGATGAAGTAGAATGCTTTAAATGCATTTTTTTCCTATCAGAATCAGCCCTTAAGGCATTTGGATCCGGCTAAAAAGCCCATGAGAGTATTTCAGGTATGGAAATCCAAGACACTGGCAAAAAAACCAACCAACCAACCAACCAAACAAAAAAACCTAAATGAAAGATCTCTGTGATGAGATCCCAGCAGAAAGAACGGGCCATCAAAGAAGGAGGTACCTTTCTCTGAAGGGAGGAGAGAACTTCCACTTTGACTATGACCTTGTCTAAATAAGATCGGAGTTGGAGAACTCCAAAGGCTTCCATAGCTTTGGCAACTCGTGACAAGAGCCTAGGGAGATTACTGATGCCATGAACAAGAGTGTCAATTGTTAAATCAACAACAGGAGTCACTGTGCACTTACTCTCCTTGTAGGATCTCTGTCCTTAATTTGTTGTACTATGTGAATTAACGGTATAACTAGTACTCAAACAGTACTTTATACTTTGTGTGTCTATGTGGGTGCAAACTGTTGAAATCTTTACTTAGTACGTACTAAACTGATCTTCTATTTATAAAGAGAATTGAAAATGAATCTTGATGTGAATGGGATGGGAGAGGGAGTGGGAGATGGGAGGATTGCAGGTGGCAGGGAGGTTATGAGGGGAAAAAGCCACTGTAATCCAAAAGTTGTACTTTGGAAAATTATATTTATTAAATAAAAGTAAAAAAAATATAAATGTACATTTCCCTATCAACAGTGTTTCCTACTTCAGTGACCCGGTTTCACTTTGGCATTGTCTGCTGAGTGACTGGAAAGCAGATTGCAGGCTAGGTCAACTCTTCTTTTTCTGTTTTTATTTTTGGTTAAAATTCTAACATCTGTAAATTAGGATTTGCAAGGAAAGAAAAGGATTATGAACTTTCATTATAATTACATGCCCTCCGGACAACAACTGTTGCCTAGTCATGATTCTATCTAAGCCCCTGACTGCTCATACTGGGCCAGGATGTCCTTGTTTTCCAGCAATATATTCCTAAAAGACAGAGAAAGCAGTTGGTCCAGCTGTTTTCACTGTGAGAAACATACTTGGAGGTGTCCAGTCTGATGGGATTAGATGGGCTGGAACTACCGCATAGGTCCCTCCTCCTTCACTCCAGCATTTTTCATTCCTAAAGGTAGGGCCAGCCTGTTTTTTTTTTAAGCATTTCAGATTGAGAGATTTTTTTTTTAAAGCTTTATCCATGGCACAAAGACATTTGTATTTAGCTCCATGTATCAGCTGAAAATCCTGTCCTAGAGAGATTTTCTGAATTTTCCAAACTTTGATGGTGCTAAGTATTTTGGAGTTTTCATTCAGTTAGTAGATAATTTGCACATATTTATAATTATACGATTATGATATTTCAAAAGATGAAGATTTTCTGTGTGAGGTTACTGGCAAAACAGTCGTGGGTGTAAACGTGCTGCACCTTACATTTTCCCATTGCAAAATTACTGATAGCAAGTTCCTGTGTCCACTTTCGAGTCTGAGTTCTACCTCTGGCCTGCCATTGTACTGGATCCTCAGCATCATGGTTATTCGTGGAGCAAAAACTTTCAGCTATGTGTTTACTTGCAGTATCTAACAGTTCTCCATGTGAGAAAATGGATACACTCATGTAGAGAATTGAGCAAAATTACCATGATTTCATTTCAAAAGGAATGATCCAAATACACGTTCAACTTTAATATAGATTTCTTTATATAAATTGCTGTAAATTGGGAATCAGCTATTAATGTATCAACCTCAACAAGCAGAGAGTTTGATTTGGAATCTGATTTAAATTCATTCCTTCAGTCTAAATACAGACAAGTATTTTATTAGATTTTTTATTTCTCTGTTTGCCTGATTCCATGATTTATAGGAGTTTTAATTTGAAACATCACAGAAATGCCACCACAGAAGCAGTGTGTGTGTGTGTGTGGGGGGGGTTCAGAAAATTTTGTTATAATTGTTTCCAGGCCCAAGGGCCTAGTATCATGTAGAAATGTATGTTTAAGAACAGTTTCAAATTCTTTCATGCTTTTAAGGCATTGAAAATAAAAATTGTTCCTTTTCATTTGTTTTTAGAGGGATAGATGGTTGGTTCATTCCCTTTTGGCTGGCCTTAGTATATGTAAATTTGGCAGTTGTCAATAGACACTAGGTTTTCAAGAATAGGTAGAATAGATTTCCGTGTTAAGTGAGCTAGATTATTCAGGTGAATGTAGTTCACTCAATGAAAGTGAACATTCCACAATTTACTATGACCACAAGCTGTTTTCAAGTGAGCCTCTTAAAGTGAATTTTTTTAACAAAACAATAAGAGCAGAAATGATAGTGCCATATAAAGAAAGTGTCTAAATGGTGCCACCTTTGACTGCAGGTGACAGTTGAGATTAATTTCAACGGAAATCTTCTAATACTGCTTGAGGGCTACTATTTGAAAAAGAAATTTGGCAGATTGTACAATGATAATATTCAAATTAGAAAAGATTAGAAATGTACCGTCTTCTTAAAGAAATGATTATTAAAATTTAGAAGGAAGAAGACCATGTCTAGAACTCAGATTATGAAACAGCAAGACACCATTTCTGTGGGAGAAATGCAGACCCTAATACAATAACTCAAATCTAGTCTCAGATTTTATATCTGCTCAGACCTTAAATAACGGTACTGTGGTCTTAACGTCTGACATTGTAGGGAGAGAAAGGTGTGATAACTTTTCTCACCCATCAAAAGGGTCATGACTGACACTCCTGTAACAAAAGACAGGTTAACAAGATGAAAGCAAAACAAATTTATCAAAGTTTTATGTAACATGGGAGGCTGCAGAAATCAAGACCTGAAGACCCCAGGCACACTGTCTATTTTTTTGGTTAGGATGCATGAAGAATGAAAGGCTGGGTAGGGGTGTGAGTTGACAAAAGGTGTGACCTAATGTTGCAGACTGCTAAGCGGAGCCTGGCAAGGGCTGATCTGTTCTGAAGCTTCTTGGCCTCCTTGCTTGGCCTTTCTTCCTTCTGGGCAAGGGCGGGACTCCCCTGTAATGGGATCTTACCACCCGCTGTCTGTCAGACAAGGTTGGTCAAAGAAGTTCCTCCTAGATAGCTCTTGGGCTAGTGGTGGAAGTTTAGAGTCATGTGTCTACATCTTATGACTGGCTTTGGATTCTAGATTCTATGACTCCCCTGTGAGAAGAGGAATTCTGGTTTTTGTGGCCTGCCTTCGAGGAGAGAAGGAAAAAAGAAGGACAGGAGACAGTCAAAAGGAGATTTTTGCACCTGAGGCCCTTTCAATGTTCTTCAGTCTAAAATACTCAGAGTACCAAAGCATCATACTTTGGGGTATTATCTTCTGAGTCCCAACAACATGGTGGTATATTGCTGAAAGGATGTACAGAGGAACAATCCATTCGGGGAAGTTGAGGTAAGGTTATTATTGATATAGGGAATAAATGAATCTCACTTCTCTTATCCTCTTATGAAGTTATAGGAAAAACTCTTTAGGATCCAATGGAATATTTTGAAGTGAAAACTACCAAAGAGGAAAGAAAGAAAAGTGCCTACTGGAGATTTTTGATTACCATTTTATACAATGATGATAAGGTTAATGATAAAAAAATCCATGAATTTTTATCTAATGATTTATGAACTTATAATTTCACAATAGTAATTATTTTTCTGATGAAAATGTGAATTTTTAAAAAACAAATTATATTTAGTCCTTTTCATATATCCCATCCCTTTCAGAAAGATTTTTTAAAAGATTTATTTTATTTGTTTGAAAGACTGAGTTACAGAGAGAGGTAGAGACAGAGAGAGAGGTCTTCCATCCACTGGTTGACATTCCCAGATGTCTACAAAGGCAAGAGCTGAGCCGATCCGAGGCCAGGAGCCAGGAGCCACGAGCTTTATCTGAGTCCCCCACGTGAGTGTCAGGGCTCAAGCACTTGGGCCATTCTCCACTGCTTTCCCAGGCCATAGATCAGAGCTGGATCAGAAGTAGAGCAGCTGAGACTCGAACTGGCGCCCATATGGGATGCTGGCGCTGCAGGCCAGGGCTTTTACCTGCTGCGCCACAGTGCGGGCTCCCAGAGGGTTTTAAAAATATGCTCATATACTCCCTATGGGACATAACATTTTGTTGTAATTATAAAATGCAATTCAGGAAAATCTAAATTGTACTTTACGGGCAAAAACAATGGAGTAGAAGAAGGTGTTGGTTGTACCTAGAGTGCAGCACGTCATGAAAGGAAAAATCTCTTTAACTTGTAAGGCAGTGATTCTTAATTCATGTTTGGAGGATTGCTTGCCTGTGAATTACCTGGGAAACTTGTTAGAAATGCTGCAAATTCCTGGGATCCATGCCAGACCTACATTGCCTGATTCCAGGGGAATTAAATTCAGAACCCGTTTTACTACAAACACAGTCACAGATGGTTCTTAAGAATGGACAACTTTCAGAATGACTCTCTTAAGGAAATCTTCATCCTAAATGATCATTTAGGACCATTGACCAAATCAAAGTAAACTGGCAGAATTAGATAACTCTGAACATGTAGACTAAAGAGATACAGAGTGCTTTCTGTTGCATCTCCGCATTTAGTCGATTGCCTTGTACATGATGAACATTCAGCCACTACATGTTAAATGAGTAGATAAGTGAAATTTTTTCAATTCCATGAATGCAAATATCATTTGGATGCAAAATATGCATGTTAGAATAGGCAATTACAATTAGAAATGTTCAAAGGAAACTAGTTGTTTTGTCTCCTACTTATATTCAATAATACTTGGAACAAGAGAAGATAAATAGATGATTTTAGGTTAAGTTTCAGATGAGGTAGCAAGTGGGAGACAAGTTTATGTATAACCATAAGCTCTTCAGCAAATCCCTGCTAATACAAGCGACAGAAATGTTGAATATGCTATCATCAGTATATATTTTTCTACCTTTAATTTTTTTAAGCAGGAAAGCAATTTAGAATATGCATAGTACAGTTTCTATATTTAGGACTAAATTTCTTACATTTAAAAAAATCAAGAATATGAATGTTTTTACTCTTACACATTTGCTAAAAGTAAAATTACTTCTGTTTTAGCAATGAGGAAAGTGAGACACTCATTTTCACAGGTTTATTCATTTATTAATTGATTCAACAAATAATAACTATTTTATGCATAGTTAAATATAAGATGTGGTCCCTGGTTTTGAAAAACTTAAAATATTGAGAAAATGAGTTAATTATATTATAAAAGAATAAGGCCAAATATAGGTCTATAAATACAGTATGTCACGATTTATGGATGATGAGAAGTTTTCAGCGCCTACACCTTTTATTCTTCAATCTCTTTCTTGAGTCTGCTTGAAGACCACATAATTTAATAGGTAAATAACGGTGCTTGAAGGTGAAGGTCGGGGGACTAGCTGAAAGAATGCTGCCTCCAGCGGTATTTCAGGACTAGCCCAGAAGGAAATTCTCTGCATTTTATCACAGATGGTTACCCACCCAGAGTCGGAGGCTCTGATTTGGGTCATACTCACCGGGAGTATTTGTGAACAAAAGGCATTAGCATTTACATCTAATTCTCTCTTTGTTGAACTGAGCTGTCCTAGGCTTCATAAACATGCACTCAAGTGTGTACAGACCATCATTATGAACTGCAGTGATATTTCCTCTTCCTCTTATCACATCTTTTGTTACAGAGCCCTCCCACCCCACTATTGTTAAACCGGGTGTGTCCACATCCTGCTTTTTGTGTAATCATCTTGGAAACATCTTTAAAAGTTTCATCTACCTAATTAATGGACCAGCCTCCAATGAGTGGAGTCTGCTATTGTATAATTTTAACAAAGGGATTACATGGACACACACATTGGTGTCTCTTAATTAAGAATGTGATGAGTAGATGAGGGTATTTGCCAACAGTTGAAATCAGCAAGTCATTAAAAATTCTTCTGTAATACTACTAATTTGCTTGTAATAACCTTCTAATTGCAGCACATAAAGACAGACAAATGCGGGTTGGACCCTAGGTAAAAAGTATCAGTCTTGTCCTTTCTGGTTAATGCAGGTATGATTTCCGTGTCTGGTTCAGTTGAAACAAAGCTATTTTTCCCTGCCTTTGGTTGACAAGCTTCTAAATGTTCCTTTTCTGAAAGGTGGGTTTCTCTAAAATGTTTGTTGTCCCTTGGTGGCATTGTGTAGTCTAGGGGAAATCACAGGGATGCAGGTGCCTTTTGAATGACCAGATGGGAAATGGAAGACGATCAAACTTCCTCCCAGACCCTGTGAGTCAAACAGGAATGGCCAAAGATTTTCCTTTGAAATCGTGAGAGTGAAACCGAATTTTAAAGTCTTGTATACAAATGACTATAATGCCTTACACAGCTTCCTTCTTAAAGGAAGTGTTTCCCATCACCAAAACACAGCCAGCGTCTGCGATCAGACTCAGCAGCCGCTTAACAGTGCCAGAGACACTGATGAACATCCAAAACGTTTCCTTCAAGCAAAGCAAACTATCCTCCAAAGAGCACAGGGATTCCTTGACACTGACTCAGAGGGAAGAGCGCCACCTATCGATCACAGCCGCAGTGCTGACGGCACCTGGCGGTGCTTCCAGTCTCCCTTCTGCCCACAGCCTGTTTCCCCCCAGGGAGTCGCACGTATAAGAGGTGGTCTCGAGGTCGCCTAAGTGCGCTCGTATCACGCTCCATAATTTGAGGAAAACACATGAATTTTAATCAGTTTTTAAAAACAACCAGGCCTCTCTTCTCATTTGCTAGAATGGAAAAAAATTCACTTTTATTACCTTAAAGATGCCAAACAGTGCCATTTTATTACTGTGGGAAGCTGGAAGTCATTTCCGAACTCTTTTGGCAAGGATGCTGTGTGGAGCATCCAATTCAGTCCTTTAAGTGTCTTCTGAGAACCACCACACAAACTGTGATTTACCGTCTCCAGGAGTGAAAGGGACCTGTTCTACCCTGAAACTGCAGAGAAAGGGGAAGTGTGTTTTCAAAGCAGCCCAATGAGAGGCGCAAGAATATGAGCCGGCTCCGAGAGGCGAGCCAGGGGTGAAGAATGCCTTGGTAACCCACATTTTCCAACATGTAATTTCTAATTTGCTCTAAAAGTTTATGTTGGCAGCCTTTGAAAGTTGTGATGATTGGTGTACACTGATCCACGGAACTTCAGGCCACTTTGACAGACACGTCACGCTTAGTGACAGTGTGGCTGCTCCCCTCTCAGCCCCATGCTCCTTGCTGTTTGCGTCCGAAATAGGTTTTGGTACACTTTCATAGCTGATGTAGTGTCCTAGCTTAAATATATATATATATACATAAATATATAGCTTATGTACATACATGCATAATTAGTTACATATATATAATACATACATTATAGAGGTTCCTACATTTTACAAACATGTATTCAACTGACTAAACAAAATTAAACAAGAATCAAAGAGATTCTTGCATATTTTCTAATTTACGTACTCAGGAGATGGAAAGAGCCCAGGCACCCTCATGCCATCATCAGTGACAACAAACAATCATTTGAAAATTTGTGTTCTTTCACAGACTCAAGTCTCAGCCCCATGCAATCTGGGGGACCACAATGGCTAGTGAAGTCTATTCACACGCAAGTGCATTTTACCCCAGTGTCATTTGGCTTGGAGATTTTAACGGACTACCTTGTGTATGTGGTCCACAGTCATAAACACTTGGTCCCTGGAGACAAAAACATAGCAAGTGGGAAGTAAGATATTTAAACACTGGCCGGGAAATTCATTGCACTGTGTGTGATTAGCCCTGTGCTGGGCACTCTGTGGACCCTGTCTATCTGATGAAGAAAAGAATGACAAAATGTACCTCTGTGGAAAATAATTAGCCTGTTGCATCAAGAATCAGACGCTATCTGATAGAGCAGAAGGAAATTCAGTAAATTCCCTTTCTTGTCAAAAATCAGCGAACTTCTGACTTCAAGTAAAAAAGCCAATTTTAAACTTTGATGAGTAATTGTCCAAAGCAACTATGACAGCAGTAAATACTTTTTTCTGTTTAAAACAACCCAAGATCTTTCATAAAACCTTATTGCTCTAGTATTATATTGTTAGCAGAGTATTATATTCATAAACTGTTTCATAAAGGCCTCCATAATGGTATCCTACAATCTTCATTTTTTAAAATTTTTGGGACAATTGAAAAAAAAGCATCATTTTTGCCATATTCTGCCAGGTTAGGTAAATATAATCTGATGCTTGGAATGGACATAATATTCAATTGTTAGGAATATTATGTGGTCTGCTCTGTAGGACCAGAATCATATGTATATTCTGGTGTCGAAATTCATACTCGGCAGTAGGTTGAGGATTTCATGCTGCTTTCACTGCTAAATCTAGTAGGGGTAATAGAGGCCAACACTTAGGTTGCACCTGCCAGGGAAATGGCTAGGGAAAGTGGAAGGTTCCATCAAGAGAGCCAGGAATGCAATGCTGCTCCCCTGTGTAGAGGTAAGTAGGGCACACAATGCTCCCTTTCCCTTAACAGGAGTGATAGCATGCTCAAAAGCCTTGATACATATATAACAAAAGAGTGGAGATTTCCAAGATCAAATTTAATCTCAAGCTTGCTGAGTCATCATTAATGTCCATTAAAAGGAAACAATAGAGAAAAGAATGGTATTTAACAATAAGGTAGGAAAATGATTGGATTAAAACTGCTTCTCTTTTAGAAATATATCTTGAAAGTTATGTCCATATATACCTGGCACATCCATTGGACTGACTCATCGATTTCCTATATGTATATGTATACTTATTCTTTTAGATTTCCACTCAGCCATCTAATCATTCATCTATCTCAACCAAGTATTTATAAATCATTTTATTCTTTCATTCACTCATAAATATAATCCTTTTTTTGGGGTGGCAGCTTCATGAAGAGCATTATCACTAGTGATGTAGAAGATGGAGTGAGTCACTTCTCCCAAAAGGCTTGTAATCCAACTGGAGAGACAGTTACGTCTATCAGTGCAAAACAGTGTGATAGAGGATATGAGAGCACTTCTGTATGAGGGTAGAAAGGCTTATAAAATAGACCTGCATATCAGGGAAGGCTAACATTAATTAATAAGAATTAGGCAGATGGTGAAGAGGAAAGATGATTCTAGACAAAAAGACATGTCATGCAAAATGTGTCCTTAATAATTGCATTCATTTATATCCACAAGATAATCACTTAACAAAACTCCACTTCGTTAGCCATAGCATGATACAATGAGTCCGTTAACAATGACTTGGAGGAGGCCATGGAACTTAGTGGTTATATGCACTGCTTCTGCAAGTAGAATCCCTAGGTCTGAATCCTGACTTACTCTTTCTATCTGAAAGCTTGGGAAAAATACTGACCTTCCTTCTGTCACATTTTGCCTTTCTTCAAATTGGGTATAATAATAGTATGCTCTTTTTAGTTTAGTGAGTATTAAATGAATTTATACATGAAAAATAGATGTCTATCAGACATACAATAATTTCTCAATATATGTTAAATGGGATGAGATTTTTCTTTGGCTAAAATAATCTTATTGGTAAAGATCATAGATAATCGTTACCATCTTTTGTTGAGGTGTTTGAGAACTATCATGAACTCAGATTTAATAAATTCAGAAGCTAGAGATATTATCTTTGTTAAAACTGTTTGCTACCCAAGACAGAAAAAAAAAAAAAAAAACCAAAAAAAAAAAAAAACCCAAGAAATTCATTCAGATGCCCTGGGTTCAAATTCTATCTTTGTTACCTTCTGACTTGTAAGCATTTAGCAAGTTGCTTGATGTCTTTGCCATGGCATCTTTCCATAAATGGGGATGCCAATTAGACTGATACCTCCCTCCTGGGGCTGCTGGGAGTGTTAAATGGGATGGTACGTGTAAATATGACTGGCATTGCCAAAAGGTTTGTTTCAATACACAACAAAAAAGCCCTTATTAAAATACTAAGAAAATACATGATGTCTAACCCAAGGACTGTGAAAATATCATTTCCCAAATGCTTCGTATGGTTCGAGAGATCACTTCTAAATATTCTTGTCTGCCTTCGCCAGCTCTGCAAAGCACTCTTGAATGTTATTGCTGACTTTGATAGCCTTCCTTTGCATCTTTGCCAGAACTTGCTCTGGGTTGCAGCTATTCATAGAATGCCCTTGGATAATGTGATAGGTTGAAGTTGAATTGCTCCTCCAATCATTTTGGAGCAGTAATAATGGCAACTAAAATGGTCATCTGGAGAATGAACTAAGCATGAACATTTTCTAATAAAATCACTCTCTCTATATATATTTTTTGTCCTTAGAATAACCCAGAAGGAGATAACATAATGCTATTTGAGTAAATAAGTATTAAGTATGCCAACACAAAATGAATTTTCTGTGTATAAATAATATATGCCTTAAAAGACCACTAATCTTGAGTGGAAAACAAATACAAAAATGACTTAAAAAAACCCTAAATTATATGAAAACAGATATTACCCAAGATCTTTTTCCAGGAATTATTTTTTAATTGCAAATATTGTTTTAAGGCTGAGAACCTAGCCTACTCAAGCAGTATATACAGATCGGATTTAAATAAATTCAACATATCATCATGTTGCTAATACCATTAACATCTCTGGTCTCCCGAACATCTTGACAGCTTTTCTCCCACATACCAATTACTTAATACTGTTACATCTAAAGCCAGGGCTCGTTAGCCTGCCTGAAGGAGTACAGAAGTTCCAGGCTGGCAAAGCTTCTATTTTATTTTATTTTATTTTATTTTTTTCTTTCCTGCAACCTGATTTCTTCCGGGTCTGACCTAATTCCTTTGATGCCTGGGGCCTGGAGGGCAGAGCTAATCTGCATCATGGATGTGTGGAGAAAAGGTGAGACAATTGAAAGAAAAGTAAACTTAGGAAAGAATGGCACCCCAGGTGAACATGCTCTTCAAAGTCAGAATGAGCACCATGCAAACAGAACATTTTTGTTTCACCCCATCCTTTAAAGAGGAACCGGAATTCAAAGCAAAGACTCAGATACAAATATCCTCTCTATCCTCTTTTTTCACATTTCTTTAGCTGGCTGGTACACACTTTATGTCTTGGACAGAAAGGGAAAAAAAAAAAAAAATGGAATGGCAGAAGGCTAATTGTTAGCATAGTGCAATGAATTCCAATGCAAGAAAAAATACCTGCTTATGAAAAATAGTCATGTTCTAGAAGCCGGAATGATAGAAAAGGTTTGTGCTGACTTTCATGTAAAGATCATGCCGTAGTCTAAGCTTTGGAACGTGCCGATATGCAGAGTTCCTCAGACCAGTCCACTAACTTATTGTTCCTCTGGGTCTGTTCCCAGTTTCTTTCTCCCTCTGGGAAGCAGGTTTCTCTTACTGCTCAAATATGCACTGAACATCTTGTAGTCATTAATATACCAAAGGCAGCGGCTAAAGGGGCAGATTTTTCAAAGTGGCTCTGCTGTCTTGATTTCGGATTATGTGAATCCTGGCGGGGGGGGGTGTGTGTGTGTGTGTGTGAAATCTATCTTTTCCTCCTAACAAACTGCAAGATTCTTTTTTTGAGATGTTAAGAAGTTGTAATTCTATTTGCTTGGATTTGCAAGAGAAGAGAAAGGTGTCCATTTGTGATTTGATTAATGAAGATTCGCTGTCATTAGCACACCTGCTCTCATCAGAAGAGACGGACTTCATCTAAAGCAGGAACATGATCAGGACCTGTTTCCAACACAGTAGCACGCCTTGGTGCAGGGGTGTTTTCACTTCACAGATGTTTGAAGTAACTTGGCACTCAGCCTCCAAACTTGGAATTCATTTGGCATCCAAATTTCTGTTTCATAGCCATGTGACTATCTAATGTGTCATAAATAGAAGAGATTTCTCTGGATTTTGGAGCCGTATCCTGGGTCTACCCTCACTACCTAATATATACCGTGTTTCAGGATATAGTCACAGATTCCACATACTTACTGCAGTCCATTATTTAAGACCATGTATTTATCAGACTTGTAGAGCAGCTAACTGGTATGAATATGTCAGCTTTTTGCGGGTTTCTTCTTTACCTCTTATGTACATTTACTTGTATTTTAGTAGCAGATACATCAGTGAGCATGGGGTAAAACATACCACACAGATACTGAAGGGGAAAGAAAAAAGGTTTGGAGTTCAGGTAATTCACCACCTGGGACATTCATGAAGCCACAATCAATAATAGACAGAATATTGGTTGAAGTTATTAGGCGTGTGTAAGTCTGTGTGTGTGTGTGTGTAACTGCTATATTTTAACACAAGTCCACGGAACCAGTATTTTTCAGACTGATGAAAAAATTTGACACTTCTATCTGATCACTGTTCCTAGTAGACCTGGAAAGGCCACTTCAAAACCGCTTAAGCCTCCACATTATTTCCTATTTGATTTAAAGAAATAGAAAGTCATGTATTGGTACAAGCTGTTGCTACTTTATTTCATTGGCCCCTTCCACATGCACTGATGGGCATCTGAGAACAGAAAATCTAGCTGTGATTTAGGACCCCAAATCATGCAGTCCAGTTTTCCTTTGGCAGAGATATCTGAAGCGATCTTGTATTTAGTAGTTTAGATTGTTCTGTTTTTAAATCCGTTATAGTGTGTGCATTGGGCAGGTAAAAGATTAATTTGCATTTGTAACGTGCATACCCTTGAGGGCAGTTGTATTTTATGCACAGGTGAACAAGGATCTGTTAGCAGCAAATCTATAGAGCTGACATTTTTATGTCTTCTACTTTTTTTAAAAGCACTAGTCTAAGCACAGGAACAGCAGATTCTTAATTTTAAACTGCTTGTTGCACTCATCTTTTGGCTTAATGTTTTAATTTATGTGGTTTATAAGCCAACATTAGGTATAAACTTTATATGTATGTACATACATATGTTTTCCTCAGACAGAAAAATTTTTATTATCAAGTACAGTAAAGGAACGATCTATTTCTACTTTAATGAATACAATGGCTCTTTTAATAAAGACTCCCACTTGTTATACTGAAAGAAGAAAATGGTTAAAAAATGAGCATTGCTTTCTCACAGTGCATCGATTGAGGACAGAGTGCTTATTTTCTCGCTATATTTTTGCAAAAGCCAACGATTATGACAAATATCTTTAGACCGGTTTTGTGTAAGGCTTATCCTGTCAACATTCCCTTTCATACAATTTATTTCTACAGAATTCTGATGAGTAATGTGTGGCGCTGCATTCCTCCAGCAGTCTCCACCTAATGCTTATGATAATGATCACAGCAATCACAAACACAATAGATGTACATCGCCCCAAATGAGATCTGAACTCCTGCTAAAAGGAAGCCAGCTCCTTCCTTTTTCCTGTGAGTGTGTGTGTGTGTGTTTGTCTTGCGCAATAGCCATATTGTCTCTAACTGATGGGCAAAAATGCAGTGAGGGATCCTGTAAAACAACACAGAGCAAGCAGACACGAAATAGCTTACTTTTCCACTTGCTATGCTAACCCCTTTCTCAGGTGATCTTGGCAGGCTTACCTTTCTCTAATTTTGTTAACATCTCACAGATATGAAACTGCACCCTCAACCCTCGGGCTCCTCCGCCTCCCTTCTCTTCTCTTTCCTGCTGTTTCATTACATTTTCTTATGTGCATACCATCAAGTCCTCTTGGACACATAATCAGATTTGTGCCAGACTATGTTTCTTGGCTTTAATGGTTAGTTAGCTTTCCAGAATACACATGCTGCTTTATACATGCTTTCATTACTGACATCATGAGAATGCATCTCTCCTGTGTTTACAATTGGGTGTTCACCCTTAAATAAAAGCCATGAGATCAGGTTGTTTAAGAGAATCTTTGAAAAGCAGAATAAAAACAGCTGTTATCTGCTTGAACCATTTCCTTTCCTTTCATGATCTGAATGATAATGATGTGTAACAGTGGGCAGTCTCCAGCTCTCATTATACGCCATACATCAGAGCCTCTTCCAGGATGGAATTGGGTCTCTGTCCCAGAGTTCCAGCAGGATCGTTTCAACCTCACTTCTAACAGGTGTTGGTGTTTGGGGGAGTGGGGAGGGGAGGATTAAACACCTTTGCTTGTTCCCCACTGACCTCCGGATTCAGGAGGCTGGTTTTCATTGGCAGTGTGGGGTTTGAAAGTCAAACCAGGTCCTTGCTGAAATTTCTCTCACCAGGAACAGATTACAAATATTTCCACATGTCAAACAAATGAACAAGAGGGTGGTCCGTATTAATCAAAGCTCTTCTAAACCAAGTACAGATGGTAGCAATGAACTTCTCTTCCATGAAGATTTCTTGAAATGGCGGGGGTGGGGGGAAGAGGGAGGTGTTGCAGCTCACAGAAATGCACATTTCTTCAAGAGACACCAGACAGGATAAGGAGCTCGAATCCAATGTAGCCAGGAACAAAACAAAATGAAACAATAATACCTACATTGAAAAATGGGAAGGTTCCAACATTCTCAATGATGCAAGCCGGAAGGTTGGTTGAGCTTATTTCCATGCAACACTCCCTCATCACAAGCTGTTTCTGAAAAGTCTGCGGCATTTGCCTAGAGACTGACAAGCTTAAATTGGTTTTAACCTCTCGAGCCCCTTTTCATATTGCAGATGTTGCTGATTGGGGAGCAGAGTTCTGCTTTCCCCAAAGTCAGTGATTTCCAGGCTCTGGTGGCATCCGCTCCTGAGAGCAAAACTCCTCTCTGACAACAATGTCATTTGTTATTTTTAATTAACAGAATAAAATATCGATAGCAAGAGTTGAAATTGCATTGTATTCAAAACTGGAGAGTGAGGAGAGTTAAGAAAGGCACGTCTATTTAAAGAGGAGCCCAGAGGCTGGACTCTCTGACCTTAGCTGTTTTACCCATGCCTCTCCACTGGTAGAAAACTGGGTTGGGGAATCTCCTGGGAACAAAGACTCTTTGGGGCTTTCTGTCTGACCAGGTGTTCCTGTTTAGGAAGCATATATTTCAGTGTATGTTTTAGCAAAATCGGTTCCACTTCTGCAACTCAAGATGGGCATGGTTATGCTCCGGTGTAGTTAGTCCTTCAAGGCGAAAGTTCAAAAGCTGCTAAGATGTCACTCCGTTCACACCTTATCTCAAAACAGTGTTAAACCTAAATTGTATTTGAAAGGTGAAAATTCTATTGTGAAGCTCTTAACACGGAGCGTCTGTGATTTCCACTGATAAAATAATTCCATGATGTAAAAACTTCACTGGAAGCCATTTCTTTCTCTAGCTTGAATCTTTCATACCAGAGTGAAGGGTGCACTTTCTCTTGGTCTCTTCCCAGTCAAGAGGGCACTATTCAAAATAGCTTAATGCATGGTGAAAGTTTTATATATATATATATATATATACATATATATATATATGTTCTCTTCTCAAACATTTTCAAGATAATTACAATAGAGATGGGAAATTTTTGTGCTAATAGATTAAATATGTGTTTGAAACCTCATCTTAATTATAAGCATTTTCAAGAGGACTAAAATATTATAACTTTTCATGAGGAGATAGCATTTTGTTGGATTCTACAAGGAAGTGAAATAAAATTATTTTATGTCAGAACAATTCCCTTACATGCCATAATTTTGATTTCACAATGACTTTCCTGGGGTGAGGAAGGGGTTATTCATTGATTTTTATAACTCTTTGGAAGGTTACAAAAGGCCTTATGAAATAGTCTCTCTTGTTTTGAACATGTTGCATATTTTGTTTAATATATATAAAAACATTTCACTATCCCAGATATTTCCCTGAATGTGTAAAAGTACATCGAGTTCTGAATTAATACAGGAACATTGGCAAACACCAAAAAAGGCTTCATTCTTCCAATTTCTTTGTGGAAATGGATAAGTGATATCTTTGTGAAATTTCCTTTCACTGAGAAAGTGAAATAAAGTGTGCTCACTGTTACAGAGTAGTCATTCCTCAGAAAACACTTGCATATGCCTAAAAAGGCTTGTTAGAAGGGCCAGCATTGGATTAAGCAGCTGCCTGAAATGCTGGCATTCCACATGGGCACCAGTTTGAGTTCCGGCTTCTCCACTTCCAATAAAGCCCTGGGAAAGCAGCAGAAGATGGCCCAAGTCCTAGTGCTTCTGCGACCCACGTGGGAGGCCTAGACGTAGCTTCTGGCTCCTGGCTTTGGTCTGACCCAGTCCTAGTCATTGCAGCTATTTGAGGAGTGAATCAGTGGATGGAAGATCTATCTCTCCCTCTCTCTCTGTAACTTTGCCTTTCAAATAAAGAAAATAAATGTTTTTTAAAAGGGTTTGTTAGGGAAACATAATAACATTTAGTGTAATTTACATACAGTAGCATAACCTAATATAGTAATTTCCATGTTGAGAAGACCATAAAAGATTAATTCCAAGTATTAGAATTTCAACACTACCGAGGAATGTCTGAAAATTGTCTTAAAATGTCAACACAGTTTTTAGAATCTGCTTAAAGCTAGGTTTATATTCAAATCATATTGTCATACAAGTCCACAGCATTACATAATACTCTTGATTATCTACTGTTGTAATTAATTTAAAAATAAGGAGATGTCGTATATCTTTCCATTAGAGGGAATGAATGGGAACGCACACAAAAGAAGGAAGGGACAGAGAATGGTAATTTTGATGAAACAGTAAGAAGTGAAGGAAGAGGGTGAGGAGGTCTATTTCTCTACCTTGGGAACAGTATTAGTCTAGGGAAATTTGGAATGACTGCTCATTTGAACATGCATTGACAGGTAGCTGGATAGCATGATAATTGATCTTTTAAAATGCATCCAACCTGCCAGGCACTTCACCCAGTGATTCATGGGAATTCAAAGCCTCTGAGTAGCGTAGCTAAAGGGTCAGTTCTAGATTTGAATCTGGGCTTTGGCTTCCAGGTAACTAAGCTCTTCCAGCTACACATGTGTAAAAATATAACCAAAAGTCATAAAAAAATTCTTCATAGATACTTTTTTAACAAAGGCAAATTGATTAAATAATGGGAAGATTCATGGAACAGTGTCTGGGATATAAAAAACACCATATAAGTACATACCATAAAATATTCTTGTTTAAGTTTCCTAAGAGCTCTGTAAGGTAAAAATCTTTGTTTTCATTTTGAAGTACAGGTAACTGAGAACCCAAAGTAGATATAACTTGCCTAATATCAGACAAGCAGCAGAGGGTGGCAAGGATAGGGGTATGTTATACTATGTACATCTCATTCTGGGTGTCACAGCTTCACCATGCTGAGGAGTGAGTGAGTGAGGTACCAGGTCTGTCCATGAACATTTAACTACCAAGGAAGAAACTGTAATCAGGTTTTCTGACAAAAGTCAAAGATACTGACTTTGCTGACTTCTATCTTTCTCTGTCAAATTAGGAAAGAGTGTTGGGTAAATGAACAAAATATAAAAACACCTAAACTGCAAATATGTAAATGTTCATTTTTTTCCTTGCAACTCTGATTTTTAAGCTCATTTCTCCTTCCTAAGAGTATATGTTTATTGATTTTGATATGAGAACCTAAGAGTATTATAATTAAAGAAAAAAGTGTTATGCAAATTCCAATGGTTC